GTGGTGGCTGTGTGGGATGCTGGAGGCTTGAGGCTGAGTCTATGGAGAGACCTTGAGGGGCGAGGCCTGGCTGCGCCTGGCACCGTGCCCCAGGTCCAGGTCAGCCTGGGCTCCCGGCCAGGACTTGACCTGGAGGCCAGCTGTGGCCATGGGATGCGGCCGTTTCTCTGCTGCACTGTTTCCCTCATCAGGCCCAGTGATAATGAGGGCGGAGCACATGGGGACTGAGCAACACCTCAGTCAGGGCTCCAGGGGTGTGGCCACGTGACCTCCGACCTGCTGGCCCAGGTGGCCCAGGGGTGCAGGGCTGGCCCAACAGCCTCCTTTGCAGATGGGGGTGGGCCACACTTCGAGGTGGGAGGTAGTGATCTGGGTCCCAGGCTGTCGTTCCCACTGCCCTCTGAGGTCCCTGTTCTGGCCCTGCCCCAGGGAGCACAGGGCTGGGATGCGGGCGGGGTCTCTGTCTCCTGGACTGGTGTCCCAGCACGGGGGCACGGCCTGTACACAGGAGCCCTCATAAATATCCAAGGACTGAACTTGGGGCCTCTTTCCAAAGGTACCCCTCCTCTCAAGTTTCACCTCCCTGTTTTCAATCCCCGAGCTTCCCAAATGTTTTCTTCCTCCCATGCATCAGCTTGGACTGTCCCCTGCCTCGCTGCCACATCCAGTCACCAACCACTGGTCCCAGGTCCTCTCCAACCCACATGGCCTCTGCCCCCTCTTTGGGGAGGGGGTCCCTGCCTCCAGGCACTGCCATTGGCTCCCTCAGGAGGCCAGAGGGGTCTCATGAAACCCCAACCAGATACCACGCCCTACCCCTTGACTATGCCCTTGCCAAGGCCTCCCCACACCCAGCAGGCAGGCTTCTAGGCCTCCCTGGCTGCCTGAGGTCTGGCCACATTGTTCATAGCATCTCCATCACCTCCCCCACCATCACCAGTGCTCAGCAAGGGGAATGGAGCCCCTCTAGAGCCTTGGGAGCCCCATTCCCAGCACTCCCTGCTGCCTCCGCCCCAACTCCCAGCAGCCAAGCCTGAGCAGGCTAATTAATGGCTCAACCCCGTTATCAGGCAAATGCTAATTACTCTTTTTAATCTGGGCTGCCTGTGTGGAAGCTCCTGGAGTTGCAGCAGGGCTGGGGGGTCCGGAACCATGACCTCATCCCTCCTTGGCAAGTAGGCACGCAGGCCCCAGTGAGCGCTCCCTCGCCACAGCCCTCACTTTGCTGTTCCCTCTGGTGGGTGCCACCCTTCCTCACCCTGGCAAACTCCTACTCTCCCTTCAAGACCTTGCCCAGGCGGCCCCTTGGCAGGAGGCCTCCCCAGTCTCAGCCTCAGAGGACACACAAGGCTGAACTAGGAGCCCCGAGGCTGTCAGCAGTGGCCTTGGTCTCTGGAAGGGAATCTGGAAATGCTAACCCCCACGTGGAGGCTGCCTGGCAGTGGAGGCTAGGGCTGGGACCAACTCCAGAGTGAGCTCAGACTGACAGGCTCCTAGGCTCCTCAGACAGAGGTCTGGCCCTGGTGTGCTTCCTGTAGAATGGGGTGTAAACCTCCCTCGAATCCTACCCAGTCCTGGAGAAGAGACCCCACCAACCTGTATCCCCTTTGCCACTGGACACACATGTGCCACCACCCTGTGCACACTGGACCTGATCCTCCTTTACCCCACTCCCACATCCAAAGAGACACACACACTGACAGATGCACCAACCCTCTTAAAACACAGAGCGCATGCAGACACGCCCAAGACATCGTGGATCTGTGTGCACAGAGATGCACACCCGGACGTCAGCACAGGCTGGGAAATGCCTGGTGCACCGATGCCCATGTGCACACATGCACATGCATGGCCAGGGCAGGAGGCCTGGGAGCACGGAAGCTGCCCCTTTTCCTGCCCCAGGCCCCCAGGGCTTCCCGTTTACGAGACGTTATCTATCAAAAATATATTAACCCAGAAGCCTGTTTCCATCAGAGTCTCGATTCCAGGGACATTTCCAGATAAGCCTTATCTCCTCGCTTGTGCATTAGCCCCGCTGTCGGGGGCCTGCCAATCATGGCTGCCCCTCCTGCCACAGCCCATGGCAGGATGCCGGTCCATGACCTCACTCCATGTGGGCAGGCAGGTGAGGGGACCCGGGCACTGCTGCCCCATGCCCCATCCCACTCCTCAGCCCACAGAGGACCCCCAGAGGGCACCTCTTTTCCAAGGACATGCCTGAAGCACTGGTGGGCAAGGGACTCTGGAAGCACCTGGAGCCTCAACACAAACTCCAGCTCTATCTGGGGCAGCTGCAGGCGGCCAAGCCCTGCCCTGCCTGCACCCCTGTGAAATAGGCATGCTGTTGCCATACCACCCCTGTGGGTAGATGAGCAGATTCAGTGAGTTTACCTGTGTATTGGTGGCTGCAGTGAGCTTGGCCCCTGGAACCCTCTCCTCCATAAAACATGGGGGCCTGGGGCAGCCCAAGTCACCCTGAGTGGCGGAGGGTCAGAGAAGGGGACGTGCACGCCCACACCTTGGCCCCAGCCAGAACTGGGTGCTGGCTCTGGCTCCTGCCCACCATCCCGGCCAGGCTGCACCTTCAAAGGCTTCGGGCCCTGGCCCAACCCCACTAATGGACGCTCGGGTTTCCACTGATGCCGGGCCTGATAGAGGACTCTCCCGGGGCAGTCGGCTGGGAGTTCTCAGGCCACACAGAGCAGGCCTGCCTCACTGCACAGTCCAGGGGCTCAGAGGCTCCTGGGAGTCGCCGTGGGCAGCCCCTCCTCCCTTCTGTCCCTCAGTTAATCCACCCAAGCCCCCTCCTTCCCAGGGCTTTGAGGAGCACTGTCTTTAGATCAGTGGGGAGGGGAGAGGTGGAGTGGAGGTGGACACCCTCACAGAGGTCCTGGAAAAATGAATGATTTGGGGCCGGTGTCACTTCCTGAGGGGTTTTGGGCCCTTTGCCTCTCAGTGGGAGACGTATGGGGCCCACCCTAGAGCCACAGGTAACACGGGATCAGCACTGTGCCCTGCAAGTCTCCCATCCCCAGGGCAGCCCTCTGGCATGGCTGCTTTTCTTCTTCCATTTTATACATGGTGATGCTGAGGCATGAGGTTAGGGGACTTGCCCTAGCTCACACCGCAGGTAGGAGAGGCCTGAATCTATGCCTTGGTGGCGGCAGCCATGTGTGCTCATCCTTCCTCCACACTGGATCTGGCCCCAGAGCCAGCTTCCATGGACTAAGTGCCCCCGACGCCCAGCACAGGTTCCACTGGGTCACATGGTTCCTCATTTGAGACCGAGACACACCCAAGGTCACCCTGCAGGTGCAGGCCAGGATCTGGGGCTGAGATCAGCTCAATATGCAGGGACCCTAAAGGGGCTGGGGAGGGAGGGGTCAGCCTCAGGCCCCTTGGTCAGGGAAGGTGTGGCCTGGCTCCCAGCTCAGCCCCACACGGAGGAGGAGGGAGGTTTCCTTGCCTAAGAGGCAAGTCCTGGGAGCTGGGTTCAAATCCGGTGCTGGCCCTCACCAGCAGCTCCCAGATCTGTGCTGGGAGGTAGCCAGCTCGGACAGCACGGGTGGGTGCTCTGGGGACTGACAGGTGGGGGGCTATGAGCCCAGCTCGGTGCTGACTGAAGTGCTCTTGGAGGCCTGCTCCCTTCTTAGGCTGCCCTCCCCTGGGGGCCCAGCAGCCTAGCGAGGTGGAGCAGGGAGCCTGGTGTGGGCTTGAGGCCACTGCCAGTTTCCTGGGCGGAGTGGCTTCAGCAAAGTGGCACTGCCTTCCTGGTGAAACAATCTGCAGGACTGGGCAGAGTGAGGAGGCTGTGGGGCATGGCACCAAGCACACAGTGGGATAAGGCCCAGGAGGCGTCTGCTCAGGCAGCGGCAGTGGAGGGGGAGCTGGCTCCCAGGCAGAGGGCTGTCCTGATTCACAGTGCAGACAAGCCGCCTCGGCATCTGCAGCCTGCAGCAGCAGCAGTGGACACCATGCTCACTGGGGACACACTATTCCTCATGTTCCTCCAGGGCCAGTCCCTTCATGGGACTGAACTGGACCCACGGCTGGGAAGTGGGGGTCTGGGTCTTGAAGGTCTTGCCCATAGCTCTCAGTTGTTGCCCTTGACTGCTGCTCCAGCCCTGCTGTCTCGGTCCAAGTCAAGGTTGACCAAGGGTGGCCGGGCCAGTCACCATCACTGGCATCCTTGCAGCATGGGGGCTTTGCTTTGCTCCTGGTGTATTTAATTAGCTGCCTGCTCCCCAGCTACCACGTGCACGCACACACACACACGCACTCGTGCGGCTCTGGGGCTTAACAGCCCCAAGTCATTTGATCGAAACCTGCCCATTAATATTTTTAATGCCATTTGCAAATTAAAGCATAATGCACCGATTACCGGGATAAAAGGGAGGCCTCTGCATCCGTCTGGAGACCAAATAAAGGAACGTTTGAACATCTGTTCATCCTACAAATATCTCTAAAAGCTTTGATTTCCCCTCAGTCAGTTGACTCCACCATCTCACCCTTTCCTGAGTATCCCACAGCCTGGGGCTGCAGGGCAGGGTGGTCTGTGGGTGCAGGGGATGGCAGATGGCTCTGCACAGGGCCCCTCACTATGCTAGCCTCCACCTTCTGGAAAGTGTGTGGTCTTCAAATTCGAGGGCAGGGGCTGAGGGACTCCTGGTGTTGGGAAGGAGGAGCAAACTTCCACCTGCTCTGTCTGATGCCCTGGCCAGGCACCCTGCTGTTTCCCAAGTCCCCTGTGGGTGCCCTCCATGGCGAGGCTGCCTAGAGAATCCCCATTCTCCCTCAAGGCCCAGAGCACTCCAGGAGCCAACTAGTGGGGTTGAGGAGGCCAGATGCTCTGCAGACCCCCACAGCCTATGGACTCTGAGTTTGGTTCCCTCCCCTGGCCCCACCTGGGCAGGAGCTCTTGGGATTCCTCTGACATTCCCCTCTGAATAGAGCTGGGGAGGGCGGGGTCCCTAGTGAAGTCACAGAGAGAGAGACACCAGTAGAGTGGTCTGGGGCCACGGGACATTTATTTGTAGCCGCCAAGTGCCTGTCCACCTGGGGGAGGGGTGAGACTGGCCTGCAGGTGGCCAACAGCTAGGGAACTGGAAGATGCTGGCTACCAGCCCTCTGCCCAGGGCCCTTTCCTAGTTGGGCCTGGTGGCTGTCCTGGGTGGGAGTGTGCAGGGGCTGGAGGACAGACCCTCCTAGCCCGGCAACCCATCCCACCTCAGGTCCTCACTGGGGCTGAGCACCAAGCCTGGAGGTGGGGGCTGCTGCTGCAGGATTGCAGGGAGACACTGGGAGAGACTGAGGCACCTCTGGTTGGCATTTGGCACAGCAGCCTGGACTCAGCTGGGCAATGAGGCCCTGGGGGAAGTCACTGGACACTCAGGGAGACTGGACCATGCGCTTGTGGGTGTCGAAGACATAGCGCTTGAAAGACAGGCTGAGCGCCACGTGCTGAGCAGGCTCGGTCCGCTCAGTGCTCTCCTCCTGCCTGGTGGCCTCCCCACGGCCAGCCCGGCCCCGCTTCTTGAGGGTGGGAGTCAGGATCTTCTTGGACTCAGGGCTGAGGCCACCTACAAGGCACAGAAGACAGACTGTCACTCTGCCATACCCCAAGCACCAATGGGTTTCCTGCCCACCCACCTGCTGCCTAGACTCAACCCTCTTCTGCCTCCCTTTCCAGCCAAGCAGCTGTGAGGCCTGAGGTCCATTCTTGACATTTCGGCCCCTCTGGCGCCCATCTGATAGGTGTAAGAAGCGTGTCGTGCTTCTCTATGCCCCGTTTCACTACCCCCTGTGCTCAGGCCCTGCCCTGTGCCCAGTGGCCCATTGCTTTCCAGCACACTTATGCCACGTCCACATCTGGAAACTCAGCATCTGAGGCTCCCTGGGTAAGGTGCTCCTTGATTGCTCCTGGAGACCCATTCTTCACCCTCGTGTGCCTGGGAGACTGACCCCTGCAGACAGCATGACCAGGTTTAGCAGTGGGAGTCCCAGCAGTCCAGAGTATGAGAAGAGAGCGAAGTCAGGGTGTGTATCCCTGGCTCCCTTTGGCAGGCAGGGCCTGGGCTGCCTTCACCCCCACCTGCCCTCAGTGGGATATGCAGGCTGCATACCCAGCCACCCCAGTAGCAGTCCCAGGAGCTACTGCCCACTGGGGCTCCCTGTCCCATGCCATTCTCATGGTGCTCCCTCGGCTCAGTTTGCCACAGCCCTGTGAACTTGCTCCCATCAGGAACCCCCTGGCGGGGCCATGGGGCTCACAGAGTGAATGGCTTGACCTGGATCCTCTGCCAGGGGTAGATGCTGCCCCCACCCCCAGGTGTTGGTGGGTGCAGCTCCCACCACTTTCCAGCCACTTCTATGAGCTCCTTTAGCCATCCCATGCCTCACTAAAGACCTTCTGTTCAACTCCCTCCAGCTGAACGTCTGAGTGGAAATCTCTTTCCTGCTGATGCTCCAACTCACGTCCACTCCAGCTCCTTCCACCCTCACCACGCTCTGCCTGTGTGCTGTCCCTGCAGCCCTGCTGACCATGGTCCATTCCTGGGCTCCTCATTGCACATGCAAGTCTCTCACATGCTGTTCTGTCTGCCTGGGACACTCTTCCTGTCCTAGGCAATAGAAGTCCCGCTCATCCTTAAACATGCTGCTGCAGCCGCCCTTTCTCTGGGGCTTGTCTTTTTTATTTTTTAATGGACAAATTATAAACTGTGTATATTTATAGTGTACGATATGATTTTTTTTGTGTGTATGTGACAGGGTCTCACTCTGTTGCCTAGGCTGGAGTGCAGTGGTGCAATCTTGGCTCACTGCAACCTCCACCTCCTGGGCTCAAGAGATCCTCCCACCTCAGCCTACTGAGTAGCTGGGACCACAGGCTCATGCCACCACGCCTGGCTAATTTTTTGGATTTTTTGTAGAGATGGGGTTTTGCCATCTTGCCCAGTCTAACATGAGGTTTTAATATATGTATACATCGTGGAATGATTAAATCAAGCTAATTAACATATCCATCACCTCACATACTTATTTTGGCGATGAGAACATTTAAAATCTTTTCTCTTAGCAAATTTCATAGAATACTCTACATTGTTATTAATTATAGTTACCATGCTGTACAGCAGATCTCCTGAATTGATTCCTCTGGTCTAACTGAAACTGTAAACCCTCTGACCAAGATCTCCCCATTCCCTGCCAAGCCACCACCTCCAGGCCCCTGCAGCCACCCTTCTACTCTCTGCTTCTATGAGTTTGGTTTTTGAGGTACCACATATAAGTGAGATCATCAACGTATGTCTTTCTATGCTGTGGGGCTTGTATTCATGAGGAATCGTCTGGTGGCGGCACAGTGCGGACTCGGTGTGGGCTACTGGCCAGGGTGAGACCACTCGGCAGGCTCCTCGGCATCTGTGAGAGTGGGCAGGCCCAGGGCTCAGAGCAGTTCCATGCCTGGCAAAGCACCCCTATGTAAGCAGTTACTCTGTGAGCCCCATGGACCCATTGGGGGGTCCTGGTGGGAGCAAGATCATGGGGCACTGTGAGAATGGCATGGGGAAGGGAGGCCCAGTGGGTGGTGGCTCCTGGGGCTGCTATTGGGGCAGTTGGGTATGCAGTCTGCATATCCTATTGAGGGCAGGTGGGGGTGAAAGCAGCCTAAACCCTGCCTGCCAAGGAGGCATCCCAGCAGGATCCCCTCCCAATGTGTGCAAAGGGCCCGTATAGGCTGGGGGCCTAGAGGTCCAGAGTCAGGGAGAAGCTGGGCAGAGGCACAGGCAGAGGGCCCAGCTTCCTACATACCACGAGCACCTATGCCACCACATCTCCTGGCACTGCCTTTTCCCAGTTCTGCCCAGTACTAGCTTCCTCCCTGAGAAGATAAGCCAGCCACAAGGCTTGGGCATCAAGCTTCAGTCTGGAGGGTCCTGGCCTGTCATCTCAGACAGGGAGCACTGGCTGGCAGGGATGTGTGGGTTATTTCTGGCTCAGTTTGCTGAAGACGTTGGCACCCCTTCTTTATACAGATGAGAAAATCAAGGTCTGAGAGGGCAGTGACTAACTGGAAGCCCCACAGTGAGCTCAGAAGAGCCAGGATTTGAGCTCAAGGTGCTTACCCAATGGCAAAGCCAGCTTTTGCTCTCCACCTAGAGTGATGGGTGGGGGTCCCACCTTTCAGTGGGCTTCTGACAATGGTTCTTAAGGCTGTGAGAGCGTTGTGCACTGGCCCTGCAGCTCTAGATGTTTAAAAAGGTAACAAGGGTGCTGGATGAAGGGGACATCTGTAGAGTCAGCCAGGGACAGCCTGCCCCACTGCACAAAGGGTCCGGTCTCCTTCTGGCAGGCGGAAGTGAGATTATTGGCCATCTAAAGCCTGGGTCCCCTGGGAAGGCCAGGGATATGCAGCTGATATGAACGGGGTTCCAGGAGCCAGGCTGGCCCTTGCATGCCTGCCAGAGGGACATGTGACACTGTGGCCTTGGGGACCTGTACTAGGAAGGTGACCCTGTGAGCAGCACACCTCACGTGGAGACTGAGCAGCAGTGTCTCCTGTGCAGGTTCCACACGTAGGTGGTCTGCCCCCTCTTGGGATGGGGCACACACAGAGTGTGGGCATGTGGAGGACCCTGACCAGCCCCCTCAAGTGAGCACCAGGCCTGCAGGTATCTGAATCCCTGAATCAGGGCCTTCTGCAAACAGAGCAGGTAGCTGGCAGCAGACCCCGACAAATGGCATGGGCAGCCCGTCTCCCTCTGGTGCCAGGAGGTCTGGAGGCTGAGGAGGCGTGGGGCTCCCCGGCGTCTGTGCCGGGCTGGGGAGACAGGCGTGGCCCAATCGGCCGTCCATCTCGCCTGCGATGGCTCTCGTTACACACAATGCATACCTTGCACTGCCCGGAGCAGGCAGAGCCGGAAAGTCTATCTGGCACTGGCGAAGATGTGGCCATTTAATTGCTCTTCTGAGATGGTCAGGCTTGTTTACCTCTGCTCCATTATGGACTGGCCAGGAAGCTACACCTGGAAAGCCTGACCAACAGGAGACTGGCCATGGGGCTGCATGGATTCATGGCAAATGTCACCAGGAGCTGCTTTGTTTTCCCAGTGGTCTTTTTTCTTTCTTAGCCATGTGGCAAACAGAGGGAAGTGAAGAGCACCCCAGGGTGTCACGTGGTGAGAGAGCTGCTGCCCACCTGGCCAGACTTGGGGGGTCCTGCCCTGTGCTTCTCCCAACCTGCCTCTGTGTCTTTTCACTTAAAAACATTCAGGGAACACGCCAGGACAGGGAGACAAATGGTGGTGAATGCACAGACCAGGGCCCAGCTCCCACGAAGTTTACTGGTCTAAGAAGGCACAGCCAGTGAATAAGGCAGCCAGATCTCCAGACAGCAGAAGGGTGACCAAGGAAACAGTGCCGCTGTCACTGGGTGGGGACACGGTGGCTTCAGCATGTTCCAAGGGCAGGCTTCAGGAGGAGGAATGCCGGACCAAAGGCCAGATGACAGGGACCAGCCATAGAGATTGCTGGCACGGATCCACAGGAAAAGGGAATTTGAGTGGCAATTCCCGGGGTGGGGTATGCGAGAGGAGATGAGGGCAGATGAAGTCACGTGCCATGTGCAGTGCAGTACAAGGGCCTGGCTCCAGGATGACCACAGCTCACCATGTCCACAAGGTGCCTGTGTGCCAGGCTCCCTGCACTGTGCACTGACTTGGGGTCAGGTGGGCGGGAGGGCAGTGACAAGGTGACGTGCCAAGTGCCCATCTGCCTGGTGTCTACTTCCTGCAGGCCCTGGGGTCTCCAAGGCAGGCAGGACAGGTCCTGCTCTGCCACCTGCTCTGCTGGGACCTATGCTGTCAGGGACGTGCAGTCCTGCCCCATCTTCCTCCCTTCACTGAGGCTGCTCTGGGCCTCTGCCCTCTGCTTGTTCGTGGCTCACAGCCCCGCCCCTGTGTCAGCCTCCTTGCTGCTCTCCTGCACACCTGATCCATCTCTGCCTCAGACCTCTGTCTTTACCAATTCCTCTGCCTGGAATACCCCCTCAGGAGCTCTGGTGGCTGCAAGATCACTGTACAACTGTCACCTCTTGGTGGGGCCTTTGTGACGACCTTGTTTAAAACCACAACCCCTTTGAGACCAGCCTGACCAACATGGAGAAACCCCGTGTCTACTAAAAATACAACATTAGCAGAGCATGGTGGCACACACCTGTAGTCCCAGCTACTCGGGAGACTGAGGCAGGAGAATCATTTGAACCCAGGAGGCGGAAGTGGGGTGAGTTGAGATCATGCCATTGCACTCTAGCCAGCCTGGGCACCAAAAAACTCTGTCTCAAAAAAAGCAAAACAAAACCCAAAAACCAAAAACCAAACAAAAAAACCCCCACAACTCCCTCATGTTCCCCTGACCCCTTCTCACCCCACTATTTTTCCTATAGCTCTAATTACCTTCTAACATCCTCTATAACGTCTTTGTTTTGGTGTTTGCTGTCTGCTTCTACTAAAATGGCAAGCTCCACCCTGGCAGGGAGTTTTGTCTATTCACTGTTGTAACCCTAACACCTAGAGCAATCGCTGCT